GAAAATACCCACACATTAGTGTGCTTTGTGTACAGTGACATGTGGTACTCTACTTTATGTGCCAAGGTCCAAGGCATTGGTTGCAAACTGTGTCATTTTCCCACCATGTCAAGCAGCAATACTTTTGAATGTATGATGCTTTGATAACGTTATGGACAAATGGACACCACAGCAAAAAAAAAAAAAAAAATAGTAGAAAAATAGTAGTTACCTGGATGAAACTCCAGTTCAATGAGTATGTGTGTAGTCCTCTAACGGGCCCTGAAGAAGAATCTTTTTATCGCACCATCCAATTAGGAGGTAGTGGGCGATGAGCATCTTCCCTCTATGTAAACCCCTCACCTCCGCAGCTCGACTCTTTTTCATTCAGCCACCTTGAAGCGGATCTTCCGTGAGTTTTGTTACCCTCTGGTGTCGCATATTTTTCTCTCTATGTGACTTATCTCAAGAATATGACTGACAACAAGCTGGGCCTCACCTGTACTGTGCCCATGCCCCCGTCAGATGCCCCCGAGTTGTGCTTCCTCTACCTGGGTCTTTGTCATCTAGAAGAGGCCAACTCCTGCTTCGCCTGGGTCTTGCTCCCTAGAGAGAGGAAGGCGGCTGCATTTCTCCCAAACTTCCCACCTTCCCCACGACCGGTGGCAGAAGGTGGGACCCAACAGAACTTTTTTAAAGAGAAGGAACCCCAGGCAGCCAATCACCCGAAATAATGTTTATTGTTTTCATTTTTCATTCATCCACACTTGTAGATCTAAGACTTTATTCTCAAAATCAATTTTTTCTTTTTTTTTTTTGTCTTTAGCGTGGCCCTCATCCTCCTTCGTAGAATGTGTTGGTGCAGTTCTCTGTGTCCAGTTGAGTGAAATCAGTCTGCATGCTAGAAGGCTGACAAATGACACCATGATGTGTTCCACACTGTTCTTAACTATGTTTGAGTCTGAAACTCCTAAAACCGCCATCAAAGGATCTAAGTCCGTAGGTCTTTTTATAATTCTCGATGAAGTCATTGAAATATGGCTCCAGCATTTTTACTTCCTCGGGCAACACAAGGAGACACGAGCCAATGATGCTGGTGCAAACCCACGGCTTACACATGAAGGATCTACTTCAGGAAATGTCCGACTGAGTATTTGTTTAGACCAGTGTAAGCGATGTATTACCTTGAACTGCAGAAGGCCATGTCTTGCACACACTTTATGAATCTGTTCTAGGGCTGTCTCCCATTTGTCTTCTGTTGACCTTTAATATCTTATGACTGAAAAATGTATTTGATCAGTTGTTTGTACACACAGCACAAACAGTGACACACTGACACTACATGGTTAGCAGTTATTTGGACCTAAATTTTTGTAAACTTCACTCAGTTGTTACTTGCACTGGCCCGTTTCTCTGACTCTAGCTCACATTTCAGCAGAAAACCTAAATACCTTTTGTACAATATGCAGTGTTGTTTTATATCGTATTTTGTTAGCTTCTTGAGGCCAGTCAGAGAAAGCTGTTGTACAGTATGAAAGAATTTGTAACTCTTGGTTCTGACTTGTGTAATGAAGATTTCAGCACAAAGACAGCAGGAACAACAGTCACCCTCGAAGCAGAAGTTTTGAGTAGGAGCGATTTTTTTAAAGAACATATTAGACTTGATTACCTTGGAGATAAACGTTTAGAAAAGGTAAAGGGGAACTCTGAGAATGATTCATTCAATTTACTCAAACTCAAGTCATGTCTCCATTTTCAGTAATGAAATCTACCAGTGGGAGTGTTCAACTCTCGCCATAGCTTTAGAAAGTTCTCAGGTAGTCATTTGCATTCATGGGATCATGTAATGTTCTCTGTGAAAGGGCAGAGGTTATATCAAAGGAGGGAAATGACTGTCTCTGTTACTGCGTGATGCAGGAGCTGAAGGCTGATGTTTCACTTCTACATTGTAGGCATGCAATTGTTGTACCACATTGTAAAAGATGTAATCAATATTCACAATGGAGTAAACATAGTGTTTTCCTACCCATCTACTAGGGGTGTTACTGTTCAGGAAATTTACAGTTCAGTATGATACAGTGGTGTTAAGGTTCAGTACGTTTTTAATACTGCAAAAAAGTAGAAATGCCAGAAAAAATTACCTTGATTTTTAGGGCCTGAGCACCACGCAGTGCAAGGCCCATATTGAAATCCAAGGGATTTTTATTGTTCCTCCAAATTAATCTAATTTTTGAGAGGCTTAACATACTGAAAAACTCAAGAAACTTTGCAAACATATCACATCTAGTAAAAAAAATGATATTTTAGGGGTCTTGCACCTGGGTTCCAAAAAATGGCTCAGTAGTGCCCCCTACAAAATTTCTACAAAGCAGCCACCAAAGCTGGCTTCACCTACATGTACGAAACTTGGTAGGCACATGTAACATCCCAAGACGCGCAAAAATGTCTCTTTGGGGCAATACCGTAAACCCAACAGGAAGTCAGCCATTTTGAATGTTATGTGTAATTTTATAAGGTTGTACTTTAACTAACTCATCCTACAGATTTAATCTGATTGACTTCAAATTTTGTCTGTACCATCTTAAGACACTGAACATCAAAAGTTGCTTAAAGCTTGAGTTTTTGTCGAACCAAGTGACCGTGGCTAGCCGTCAAATTTCCATGTGTCGCCACCAGACAGGAAGTTGTTGTGACTTCTGTGTACCTTGTTCATTCTGCACCAAACTTCACCTGTTTTGTGACGCTCCAGGCCTGCAGCCAACTACATGCACATTAGGTGTCATAGTGATTGTGCTGCCTTCTGGCAACATGAAGTACGTCTGTTCAGATGCTTCTCTTTCAGTTTAACTGAAATTTATGTGGTGGGGTCTACAATTGATTCACAGCAACATGACGTATAATTAGCGTCTTCTCCAGCGCCACATAGTGGACACAGGAAGTGGTATAAAATGTGAAATAGGTCATTCCAGTGCCCACACGTAGGTTTACATTACCAAAGGTTTATGACAAAATTTCTCGATGACACCGACTCCCGTGTACCCATGGTGAGAGAGGAGAGGGAGAGATGCTGTGCTGCTGCCTGAGGACCCGCTGAATGAGTTCCCTCTGAGCGGTAAGTTGCTAAAAGAGTGAGAAGTAAAACATTCAGGATGCCACAGTTTATTCCACACTACTGAAGCTGCTCCTCTTTCTAAAACCACCGCAGAGTCGGTAATAATTTCACTTTCAGCCATGCTTGTTGTCGCCGGGGGTAACAGTATGACGTCACTATATCAACAAGTCGAAATATTGCGAGTATCACGATAGGAATTTTTCAGATCATTTCATGTCATCATATAAAGGTCCATGACCGAGATATTGTGGCACACCCCTATTACCAAAGATTTCTAGATATTTGGACAATTTCCCAGTCATCTGGAAATGTCATCACAGGCCCAGTTTTTCTTCTGGTTGTCTTTATGAGTTGCCAGCAGCGTAACTCCGGGTATTCAGACACCAATGTTATCAGCTCCTCCATCTTGTCTTTTTTCTGCTATCATGATGCCCACTATTTGATTGGCCAAAACCAGGCAGCAGCCCAAGTTCAACACAGTGAACTCAGAGCAAACTCAGTGAATGTGCACGTGGGCGGCAGCCACTTTATACCCCTACTGCCATGTTGGAAACCACTTCCCCTCTGCCGCCATCCCCTCACTGAAATGACTGGTGGTGTGAAAGCAGCTTAAAGAGGACTTTTTCCAACCTAAAAGCATCAAAGACCATTCAAACATAGACAGAGTAGTCCTCCCACCACATCTGACTGGACCTAGTCAAGCTTTTGTGACAGGAGATTACAAACTTTAGAATCACTGTGTACCTGCACATCTCCCTGGCTGGTGAGGTCAGTATTATTGTGCTTGGTGCACTTCCCACAAGCTGTGGCTTCAGGACTATATGTGTGCTTTCACCCTGGATTTGTATTTAGTCTCTGTGCCCCCTAGTTGTCTACACCAGCTACAGCTACAGTCTTTTAACCAGATTACCAATGTGGCTGCAATTGTACCCTCAGTCTACCTGCTCTGCTGCAGACACTGAGATGCCTGAGCTTGTCATTTCTCTTTTCTTGTGCACAAGGAAACTTTTGTCCTGATAGTGGTGCTAGAGGAGAGGTTGGTGGTCATGGAAATCATTAGGATTCATCAGACCATTTTTTTTTTTACAGCAGAGTTTATGGTAATCTGCCCAGAATTTATCGAGACCAACTGACAAGTAGATCATACCAGTGAGCCCAAAAGAAGCACAGATTCATCTCTGTACACCAAAATTCGTCTCATTTCTTTTTTAAAAAAGAAAGTATTTTGTAATTATTCATTTTGACTTTTCTCTGAAACTGTAAATTTGCAGTTAAAATAGCTTTTCTTTAAACCTTGTAAAGAGACCCTCAGACAGCTTGTGCTGCCTCTTTCAGAAGGTGTAAAGCCAAGTTTGCTGCTTCATTGTGACTTGCACATTCAAGATTTTGGTTTTGGCCAAAATAAGGAAGAAAGGGCAGTGTGCTTTCTACTGTCTGTGTAAAAGAGGAAGAATTTTCTAGAGCATAGAAACATTGGCTAAATGCAAAGACACCTTTTTACTTACTTACTTACTTTACTTTCAAATATTAGTGCAGTGGCAATACACAAATGAGATGTGTTTGTTACTAAAATGTGTTTTAAAAGAAAAACAATTGAATTGAAGTTTTCTTCATTTTAAAATATATTAATGTAAGTTGTAAGTTGAACGACACTCTTATTACATTTATTTTATTTATAGGCATACATAGGTAAAACTAATGCAATCTGGTACAACCCCAATACCAAAAAAGGTGGGACACTGTGTAGATGGTAAATAAAATCATCAAGTTTTTTACCTATATTCAGTCAAATTCAGTTCAAACTGATAAACTTTACTTACAGGTGTGAGCACATAAGCTATAAACTAGTACTGTTATCAGAAACAGTTTTGTGATGCAGGAGTTCCCAAATGACTGACACACAGACAGATCAATGCTGAGCCAGGCTTTAATCAGAAAGAGCAGAACATCAGAGGGTTTGGTAATGCTTTACACAAGTATTGAGTACAATGACATGCGTCCTGAAAATCCTGAGGTTGATATACATTAAACATCCATATTCACTATTATTATTATTATTATTATTGTTATTATTATTTAACATGTAATCAAGTCAACGCAAAATATTACTTTTGACTTTTGAAATAGGGTACAATATGTTTTTGCTTTATTCTCAGAGTTACAGTAACTGTTAAGGTTTCATGGAGTCAGACTACTTTTCTACCAAATCTCAATTTTCCCTTTTTATCTTGTCAAGTTGTTTTGTTTATATCAGCAAAACTCAAACTGAATACAGTTAGTCATTTTATTGTGTGGCTGTTTAAACTCTGAAGCACAGTCTACTGTATTTCAGTTAGTTCAGTTTCGATTAATTTGGACAGGGCAGAAAATGCCTCTGAACCTAAAACCACACTGAGACTCCTGAAAATATGAGTCTCTGTCCTCTTCAGACCAAACTGCCATGAGTACATAACATGATTCCCATCAGTTCCATGAAACAACCCCCAGATCAGTCAACACTCAGGTAAACAATGACCATACACCTCAACAGTATGTGTGCAAGGAAATGTAAGCTCTGCTGGTGAATGGTTTGGACCAAAGAACACATCTGAAGTGTGTGTGGGTCCTCAGCAGCAGTGACATAGCTTGTAGTTTTATAGAGGAAAGTGCATTTTTAAGCAAATAACTTGTTTAAAATTCCACTTGAACCTGAATCACTGTGGTCCCCAGATCTCCTCTCCTCCATGGAAACTCTACCACAGTCCCTGTTGTGGCTTTGACACATCTAGGCCTAGTTATGAACACACTCGTCTGAAAGTACTCCATTGTTGAAGCACTTGATGCAACTGGGACCTTTATGTGAGAAGTAACAACGGAATATGTTCTGACCAATTTGAGTCCCTGCAAGCTTATTAAAGGTCTCTTTAATATCACCGTACCCATCGAATACTTTAGTAAACAATCTTGTCCAAGATATTGGTGTGTTTGTGTTTAGGATCTGTGCTGGTACACTTTTGACCACATGGAGAAAGGTAAGAATAGAGGACCAGAATATGATCCTTACTGTTGTCAACTAAAGGTTTTATATTGTCCAGAACACGTGCCTCTGCATGTTCAGTGTATGTCTTTCCAGATGGTGATGTATTTTCTTGAGGCACTGCTGCAACCACATTGGTCCCTTTGTACACATCACCTCCTCTATACCCTGTTATCACATAGGGAGTCTCTTTCATTTCCTCCTCGAGCTTTTTGTCGTCCACTGGGAAGTTTACAGCCAAACAGACCTGCACGTTTTCCATGCGGATCCTGCCAAAGAAAACACACACACAGTGTTACCTTGTGTCAGAGTATGATTATAGATACAAAGTTTGATGGATGGAGATGGGTTCATATGGATAGTAAAAGAATAAATAAATGGATGAATGGATGTGGTTGATTTTAAAAATTCAGAATTATGAGTAGCAACTGCTTTATCTCTCAGTCAGCCAAAGAGATGTAGAATCAAAGATAGCAGAGACTTCACTAAAGTCAGCAGACTTAGATAAAACACTCGTGTACAGCAGGGATACAAGATATGAAAAAGATTCTGAGAGACCATTGTTGTGAATTATACAAGGAACCCTCAAACACGGACCATTATTAAAAAATATCCATATTAAAATATGTAAAACATTTACTATAAGAGTTAAGAACCTTAAAAATTGACCCAAAGTAGATACATCAATGCACTTTATGTGAGGGATGGGTATGAGTACTTGAGTACTCATTTTGACATTCAGTTTATAGAGAATTTGCCACCGCCCATCCCACATGTGAATATCATTATTATTATTTTTTTTTAATCACTGTTCATATATATAGTGGTATGCAAATGTTTGGGCACCCCTGGTCAAAATTTCTGTATTGTGAAGAGTTAAGTGAAGATTAATTAATTACTGACCATACAAGGTGCCCAAGCTTTTGCTTCAGGCCCTTTTCATTTTTTGTTATTTTGAAACTGTAAAAAATTGATTTTTTTTAATGTTGCTTAAAATATTGAACAAATGTGTCATCTTTAACATTTTGCCTTCTTGAAATCATCTTTTACTTGCTTAGCTGTTCACAGTACACACAATTTTGACCAGGAGTACCCAAACTTTTGCATGCATCTGTGTACTATATATGAATTGGTAAAATCTTATCTTATGTCAGGGCTGCATGTAGCATATTAGTGCTCCCTTGCCCTGCTGTTGCTCTTTCTTTCTTTTCTCTCTCTCTGTGTTTATCATGAGACTACTGCTGCGGTCGTGTGAGCTCCACAGCGGCCGGCAACAGTTGGTGAGAGTCTGCCTGCACGCAAATAAACACACAGTGACGGGGCTAACTGTTAGCATGGAATGGCTTATGTTAACTTAGGGTAATAAACATGTTTAACACAGTCGAGCTGTTTCTGTGTCTGTTTGAGTTTGTTAGGACTGTTAAGACGCTCGGTGTCGGGTGTTAGCTGCTGCTGTGGTCTTAGCTCGTGACTCAACAGTCAGTGACTATTGAGTGACCAAAAAAAATGCAGAAGTGCTTTGCAGAGGGTGTGGTATAGGAACAGTGTTACCTGAAGCCAAACATCCTCTGAATGCCCTAAACTAGGTCTGTAGTTTATGGTTGTAAAGTTTTATGAAGCTTTGATTATCCTAGACATATCTGAACATCATCATACATGAATACAGTTGGGCTCACTGGATCCTCGGGAGACTCAGTTTTCCAGACATACCCACTTTATGTAATTCCAAGACTGTCTGGGACCACAGTAATATTCACATACACCATTTTTAGATGAGGTGAAAATAACACATTTACTGCATGCAAAAACTGAATGGTTGTTGCTAAGAACAACAGTCTCATCATATATATTCACACAAAAGTTAAGGAATGCTGAACTTTCTTTTGTACCTCCAACAACTAGCAGCATATTGACTCACTGGTTCAGGATGCCTGCATGATTTGTGACCCAAGTCACATCCACAGCCAAGCTGTTTCCAATGGACATGCTGAAGGCCAGCATCACAGCCATCCCACACAGACCAGCCATCTGCACACAAATCAAGTTATTAAGAGATTTTAACATAAAAGGGAAAACATTTGTCCCTAAATTCTTGTCCTTGACACATCATTCCCTTTAATAAATAACATATAAAGTTCATAGCGCATGAAATGAAATGAGAATGGGGACGTTGTGGAAGTCCCCGCAATGCTGTTGAAACTGTGACTTTATTTTCATTTGGATATTTTTATTACCTGCAAAACATAAAATTGTTGCTCACTGAAAAGCAGTCTGATAAGAGTTCACGATAACACCCAATCCTGCCTGCCTCTTATAAGCATGTCTGTCTGAACCTTAAATTATCAACAATCATGAAACAACAGAAAAAGCTGCAGTTCTATGTAGATCTGCATGAATATTAGAGATGCAAATCTTGCGGATATCCACAATCCGCGGATGGGTGGGCCAATAAAACATTGTAATTAATGTCAGGTGGATTGCGGGTGGATTTGTCAGTTATATTCGTATTTAATAACCTATATTGATATAGCACTTTTCCAAAAAAAAAAAGTATTTATATGTTTTTTCCGTCAGGCACAAAATGACCAACTACTGTAGATGTCAGACTGTCGGCAACGCCCTGTATAATACCTCCATGGCAACGCCCCACGTGCTGAATCCTGAATCAAACCAGCACCAGACCTCCTTGCCATGGATGCCAAAACAGTGAGAGAGAAATTAAAATCAGGAAATGTAAATACAATAACTTAATGTTTGGGTACAGGTCTCTAAATTTCAGAAGATAATTACGTCGGGTGGGTGGAGGGTGGATGATTGGTGAGTGCACGAGGATTCGGGAGCACTCAACGCCATCCGTGCATCTCTAATGGATATAGAATTTCAGGTCAGATAACAATAGCTGAAAATGATCTGTGTGTTTTCACCGATACCAACACGATAACTAGAGATGTACCGATACCACTTTTTCCTTCCTGATACCAAGTACCGATCCGATACCAGCGCGTAAAAAAAAACATGGATGGGATATGAATTGTTGTATGTCTCAACTCCTAAAACTAAAAACTAAAATATTAAGAAATAAATACATAATAGTAGAACGAATGCCATAAAACTTTTTTTTAATTATTATTATCCAGTGTTGACACAGATCAAGACACTGGTTAAAGTGCAGCCACACAATTTGGTAATAAAGTCACTTTAAAGGCTACAGTAGAATGCTTTTTAAACTCTGCTCTATTTCCGTTTCGTTTGCCTGTAGCGTGCATATGCGTAATGACGTGAGGCATGACGTGGTATCGGATTGGTCATAGGCTGATACTGCATTTTAGGCAGTATCGGTACAACTCTAACGATAACCTATATTATTAATCTTACAAATGCAAAAATGTCAAAAGGACAATAATTAATTTTTGGATCAACAAGTTTATTTTCCTGATACAACAACAGTATTAAGAGAACTTTAACCATACATTCACGACCATAGTGTATTTGTGGGCCATCTACTGCCTGATGATCCTCTTTTGTCAAGCCTGTATAGGCTACAGAAACTATTAGAGTAACTCTACAAAGCCTTGACTCCACTGTTAAGGAGGGGACAGACAATTAGAAGTTGAGGTTCTGCTTATTGAAGAGTTTTATGGCAGACAAAAGTTGCAGAGTTCTTACCTTCACTCTTGTTGCTCACAGGGTCGGACTGCCTGATAAAAAAAAACTTCAACAGAAAAGACACAAAAAGAGCAAAAATAAATATACACCTTATTTACATCACGTGGAAGTTACAGAGGAAAATATATTTTTTATTAATGAGCACCACTGACTAATTTCAACCCCTAATATAACATTCATGTACTGAATGTATACTGTATATGTTCATAGATGCTTTGCAGATTTAACAAATCTAGGATTAATAGTATTTTATTGTTTGCCATTCTTTGCACTACAGTATGCACATTGAAACATATCTGATAAAATCATATCTCATATAAAGATTGCATACATTTAACAAAAATCTCTGGTGTCCTTTATGGTGTAACTTTTACCTCTCTTGGTGGAGATGTTTGATTGAACCTCTGTAGCTGACGTCTTCTCCTGTTTCAGGATGCAAGCTGTTGCTGCAGGGAATACAGTCAGAAGGGATGAACTTTTATATAGTGGAGCATAACAACGTTGCAGCGCCCTCAGAAACGTACTGTTACCTTATTTCAACACAAATATTTCCCTTTTTGCATCCTGTTAGAAATGAGGAAGGTTAAGAGGTTATCAGTAAAATCTGAGAATGTGTATGACAAAAGACATTTCAAAATGACTGAGGTGTAACCAAACTCCACCTGTTGATCTTGTATAACTGTATTCATATATTCATTTTGCTTCCAGCTTCTTTCTTCACTATAGGCACACCAGGCAGTGTAAAAAGAATGTGTTTATGCCTCTTATTACCAAAACTATAAAAACATACTTACCTAGTCGTGTACACCTGCTGTGTGTCTTGTCAACAGTGTGGCTGCAATCGTACCTTAAATCTTTCTTCTCCCCTGTGGATTCTGATGGTGCTTCTCAAAGTCAAGGAAGGATCTTTAAACGGCTGAATTTCAAGGTGGCTACATCATTGAATCCACTGAAGAACTGTTCTAATGTCAAGGATCTTTCAAATTCTACCAAGAACAGAGTCCTTCCTTCAGAGAATTTTCAAGGATGCATGTGTGTATCCTCCGCATGAAGTACCCGCAATTCTTTTCTTTAAAACTCGCTAGCCAGTTTTAATGTGTGCATTGAATGCAGGGAAAGAGTCTGGCATAACCTCTGTATGACGGTTACAGGCCGTCACTCCGAAATGTCGCCATTACGACGGTCCACCATTCTGAATTCTGGTCCCTGATTCCTGACAGTAAGCTATGGCGAGCCTGTAGAAGCCGTATTTCCCATGCATGTCAGCGATTTTCACCGGGGACGCACGCGAGTAATTCAGGCTGACATTACCTGTTTTTCAGCGAACTCCTCTGGTAATTTTATTAAAAAGCATATAGCATATATGCCCACAGTAAGTTATTATTGTTATTATTATTATTATTGGGTCTTATAAGAGTGGGCAACAATGAGTACTGGACCATCAAATCACAGCATCCGCGGTGAGAGGACACGCAATTGTGCGCGCTTTACACACTTATATATTATATATATATTATATATATATATTTGATGTGGAACAGATGTAGCTTTCACAACAGTTCTGATAGCCTTTAACTAGATGAATTCAGTCAATGCAAAGGTTTGATGAATGAGTTAATATTTACACACACTAGATATATTATATAGATATACAGTGGTCAGACGTGCAACGGTAGGCTATATATGATTTTGGAGTGTCCATTTCATTTGGCACATGTCTACACAGTCGAGTGCCTATTCCTTTTCATGATTGTCTGACTGAATTACTCACGAGCGTCCCCGGAGTTTGCTGAAAAACAAGTAGTCTAATGTCAGCCTGAATTACTGGCGTGCGTCCCCAGTGAAAATCGCTGAAATGCATGGGAAATACGGCTACTGTCCGGACTCAAGGAACAGAATTCGGAATGGCAGACCCTTTGAAAAAAAAAGAGGAAGGGCCGCCACTCCGAATAATGGAAATGAATTTTCAGAATGTCGACCCTCCGGAATGGCGAATGACCCCCCCGTATGACACGAAGCATCCTCGACTTTGAGAACCACCATGAGATGTTTGAGTGTGTAATTTCTCCTTTCTTGTACACAAGGAGACTTTTGCCCTGAAGGTGGCGCTAGAAGAGAAATCAAAATCAGAAGGATCATCCTCTTCAGACGTGTTACACACAGCAAAATTGATGGTTATCTGCCCAATAGTTGTCGACCCCAACTGACAAGTAGGTCTTACCACTGACTGAGAAAGACATTTTTAAAGGCACACATTTACTTTAAAATGTATTTTGTCGTTATTTATTTTGACTATTTTAGTAAATGTCTTTTTGAAGGGAAGTCCCATTGATACACAAGATCTCTTCTTCCAGGGGGTCCTAGTCAAGACAGCAGCACAATCAGAATAATCAGTTTCATTTAAAAACATTAACTATGTTACACAGTAAAACACACACACTACAGAAAAGCAAAACAAGGGGAAATAATGAGAGAAGAGAGGTAAACAGGTCATGCCAGTGACGTTCATACACAAACCACCTAGGTCAAGGACTATATAAAGCGGCAACATGTTTCTGTCAGGACAGTTTTTAAAAAGCTTCAAAAAGTGCTTAAGGCTGGGAGTGCTTGTAAGGTGACAACATTTTGGAGCTCATTTCATGCCCAGGGTGGATGAGAAGAGAAAGCAGTTTTATATCTGTGCGTACACAGGGGACAGTTAAATGAACCTGTTTTGTAGAATGAGTGCAATAGTTGCTGGTATGGAAGGATAAAAGGCTGCAGATACAGTAGGTTGTGTAACTAATAATGCCCTGCGTGTAACTAATAATGCCCTGGCATTGAGTAGGAACATTTGAAAAAAGGCCCTTAGAGAGCTTGTGCTGCCTTTGTCAGGAAGTGTCCTGCATGTTAGAGATTAAAACCAAGTCTGTTGCTTCATCGTGACTTGCAGATTGAAGATGGTAATTTTTGACAAAATGGAGAACAAAGGGCAGTGTGGTTTTCATTGCCTGTGAAGAAGAACAGACAAACACCTTTTTAAAAGGTATTTATCAAATGTCAGTGCAGTAGAAATGTAAGAAGGAAATGTGTTTGTTTCTAAAAATTCATCAAGTTATCTTCATTATAAAATGCATGACTGTGAAAGCTGATCACTACTCTCTATAATTATACAGTGAGGGTAGCATAAATAACAGAGACAGCTCTCTGTATAATGCAGTGAAACAACAGCACCACAACCTACAACCTACAAAATAATCTTGTTAAATCAACTACACCTGTTTCTTTGTTGCTTCTTTTTACCCCTGAAAAGTCTCATACTGTAGTAGCACACCTCCCTTTAGGTGTGAGCACATAAGCTATAAACTAGTACTGTTATCAGAAACAGTTTTGTGATGCAGGAGTTTCTAAATGACTGACACACAGACAGATCAATGCTGAGCCAGGCTTTAATCAGAAAGAGCAGAACATCAGAGGGTTTGGTAATGCTTTAC